GGACGTCAGGTACAAAGCAAGTATGCTGGTTAAAAAAAATAAAGCACAATGCATCAAAAATGTCTATCAATATGGAATATAAGAGTTTTGTGGAAATCCTTGACTTAAAAGTTTCTTAAAATAAGAACTGTGAGACTCATTTTATTATAAAAACTGGAATAACTGTTTTCGAAGAATTCAGAGGATTCTGATGTTTCAAAACAAAAGTGTATCCCTAGTGCAGTTATAGTGTCGCAGACAAAGCTTGGAACTAAAAATTGGTCCTGGATTTACAACCTTGGTCTTCCATTTATTGGCTGTGTTATTATATGTAACACACTCAACTTCTCTTAACCTTATAGTTTCCTCCGCACAGCTTCAGTTAAAAATGAACATGATTAATATATGTAAAAGGGCTCTATAAAAATGTTGCTAAAAAAAGTGAGAACTTCTAAATCAGTCTAAGGCATGTTCAATCTTTCCATGTATAAAATGTGATGAGACATAAAAAAAACACAAGCAAAACAAAAGGCAATAGGAATTCCCAAAGCAAAAGAATCATATGAGAATACAGAGAGTACCTAAAGGGAAGTTTTTTCAATAGCTAGTAACATAAAAATTTAAATACCAGAAAGATATGCAATAAAACATTATTTTTAAATTTGCCTACTTGGGACTAATGGTTTTTATACCTAGGCTAAGATAAAACTTGTTTTGGAGTTACCTATAAGGTAATATATTTTCTACTTTCTATCAAGAAGGGAAACTCTTTCTACTATTGGTTTCTTCCACAAAAATCAATCTTGAAAAAACTATAGCTTAGTGAGGGAAACAGTTATAAGAAACTTACAAAAGAAAACTATGAACATTAGAGTCAGGGTACTACAGCCTAATTTGGGGAAGAACAGGTTGTTGGAAAACTTTTCCATGCTACCCTTGCCTCTCCTCTGAGGATAAACAAATTATACATTTTCAACACGCCATAAAAATTGGACAGCAGAGGGCCGATTATTAATGGTAGCAGGCTAATATGGGGAAACTTAAGGGAATCATGCAAAGGTGAAAACCACAGGCAGAGAAGAGGCAGGAAGTGATCAAGAGGGATTCAGTGGTGCCTGGAGTTTCCTGCCAGATTAAGAATACTTGACCATAGGCTAGCTTTTGGCCCATCCCAATTCACATTACCAGAGTAGCTACATCCTGGGAATAAAAATTGCTCTAGAAATCAACTATGAAGAACATTCACCTATGAAAGCAATACAAATATCTAAACACATATCATTGGCTTCTCCTTCAGGTCAGGAGTGAGGAAAGCCATGTCATGCAACATCATATTTAGAAGCAAGGAAGGAGAGTAGGTTCTACATTCTCAGATTTCTCCCAGACCAATCATTCCAATCAGGCACACAAAACGAGAGACAACTAACAAAGAGATTCTTGGAACTGCTGCCACTCCAGGAGCTCACCAGAGGAAACTATATTATGCCCAGAGAAATTAAGCCAGAGTAGGCATCTGCCACTAGGTGGCACCAAACCACAGCCAGCACCGGTACAGATAAGGCTCTCAGCCTAAGGCCCAGAACTCCTGACTAGGAGGCTAAACAAGTTTGCTCTACTTATTTCATCAACATTAACATCATATAGTCTTGCACGTTACATAATTGAAAATTCTGGACTCCCCCTTTTGTCTTGGGGAGGGGTTTTATGTAGCTACTGAAGTAGAATGATTGGAATAGATGTACCAATCATTTAAAATGATATATCTAAGGCAATAAGGAAAGATACCAACACTGTAAAGTATGAATAAGGAATCACTAAGAATAATTTAAAATGTTGGTATAAAAATTGATATAATAAATGCAACAGTGGAGACAAATAGCAGGATGGATATAGCCAAAGGACACGTGATTTAGAAGACCAGATTGGAGATCTTTCCTAAAAGGTAATAGGAAAGAATACGATATAACAATATGAAAGACAGCTGGGTGTGGTAGCTCATGCCTGTAATTCTAGCACTTTGGGAGGCCAAGGTGGAAGGATTAAGGCCAGTAGTTCGAGAACAGCCTAAGCAACATAGTGAGACCCCTGTTTCTACAAAAAAAAAAAAAAAAAAAAAAATTAGCCAGGCGTGGTGGTGCACACCTATAGTCCCAGCTACTCTGGAGGCTGACAAAGGAGGATCACTGGAGCCCAGAAGTTTGAGTCTACAGCAAGCTATGATGAGGCCACTGCACTCCAGCCTGGGTGACAGAGCAAGACCCTGTTTAGAAAAAACATGAAAGAAAAGCCAAAGGATAGAAGCAGATACGTGAACATCCAGGGAATAAGAGTCTCAGAAAAAATGCTGAGAAGGAGGTGGAGAGAGAGAGACAAAGAATTTCTTTGAAGGAGTAATTAAAATAAATGGTCCAGAACTAAAAAAAGATGAAAGATCTCAGCATGGAAGGACTAATAGAACAAAGAAGAAAAAATCTGTAATGTGACATATTATGGTTAAATTTTAAAACAAAAAGTACAAGAATTTCTAAAGCTTTCAAAGAGAAGCAGATAAACTTTGGAACAAGAGTATAAGAGTATGATATAATAACCTTTTAAAAGTATTGAAGGAAAACAATTTTGACTCTAGAATTTTATATCAAGCCAAACTGATACTCAAAGGTGAAGGCAGAACAGAAATTCTTAGGCATACAAAGCCACAGAAGGTTTGTGGCACAGAGGCCCAAACTGAAAACATTCTAGGAAAAGTACTCAAAAAACAAAATCAGGAAGATGATTTAAATATAGAGTATATAAGGGTTATCAAATATTTTACCTGTTATTGTGTAACAAAACTAAATTAAACATAAACTAAAAAAAGAAAAAGGAAAAAGAATACTTATAACAACTAAGAACTAAAACTCTAAGCAGTATGAATTAGTACCAAGAAAATAATAAGAGGCATAAATCAACAAAATTCTAAATAAAAATTCAATAGGAGAGATTAGCAAAGGTTGCTTTTCTGAAGACTATCAACAAATATCTATAAACTTTTCTTAAGATTTATCAAATACAGGGGGTGATGTGGGGGAATGAGACAGAGAAGCAAAATACAGAATGAAAAGGGGAACTATGAAATGTTAAATAGATATTTTTAAAGTGTCATAAGTATAGTCTAATAATTTGGAAATCTACATAAAATGGAAAAATTCCCAGAAAAATATAATGTACCAAAATCATCAAAAAGAGAAATAGAGAGAGACCTTGAATATGCCAAAAATTATGAAATAATCCAGAATGCTACTGAACATATCTCTCTCGAAAAGCCCAAGGCCCACATGGTTTTACGAGGGGGTTTTAATAAACTTTTAAGAAACATTAATGGCTTTCTAATACAAGTTGATAAACCAAACTGGAAGAGTGAGAAACTGCCCAGCTTATCTTAGAGGTTAATGGAATCTTGATTTCAAAACTAGACAATGTAAGGAAAGAAAATATGGTGGGCTTACTTCACTTAGGAATTAGATTGGGGGGGGAGTGGAAACACCACCAAATAAAATATTAGCTAACTGAATCCAATATATTATCAAAATATAATTGTCTCCTATCCAAGTACTAACCAGGCCTGACCCTGCTTAGCTTCTGAGATCAGACAAGATCAAGTGTGTTCAAGGTGATAAGGTGTCCTAGAATGCAGAGGTAGTTCATCATCTATAGTTAGCTCAAATAACATAGGAAAAGCATGTGATAAAGTTTATGACCCATTTATAATTTTTAAAAGACTTAAATTATAAATGGAAGAGAATTTCCTTACACTGGTAAAAGCTATACAAGAACACTGTTCTATCTGAACCTGGATGACCACCTGCAAAATAAATTCAAATAAATTTTCAGTTTTCGATTTTATTGACTATCTCAGTTCTCACAAATAACTATCCAAAATTCATGAAAATTATATAATCAATTAACTGAGAATCTTGCTACACCAACTCACTATGTAATTTTAAGCCCCAAGTAACCTTGGATAGCAAAAAATATCTGTATAGCAAAAACTTATATGACCATTATATTTGAGAATCTACATTTTCTGTAAGATCCGGAACAAAAGAAAGGAAACTACTAGCATCACAACTCTTAAATGCAGTTCTGGAGGTCTTGGACAAAAGAAAATAGAAAAGAAAATAAAACATGTGAAGATTGGAAAGAATGGGGAAAAAAAATCATTATTTTTAGATCGTATATTCACCTAGAAAAAAAATTGTTTTTAAATTTGAGAGTAAGAGAGTTCAGTGAGGTTGCCACATAAAGGATTCTTATTCTATATTCCATATACTATAATGGGTCTATAAATTTGGATAGAAAAATAAATTACATTTTTATAATCAATTTCTATTTGAAATGCTTCTATTTACTTTCCCTAACATGTTATATTTTTACTTTCACTAAACTCTATTTAGTATTTCCTTCAATTATAAATGTAGACAACAATTTCTATTGTCACCAATAAAAATCAAAATTGTTTCCATATCACAAAGAAATATGTAGGTATCTTAAAATAGCACTAATGCTCACTATTTCAAAACTATGATAGCTATTAGACAATATTATTTAATACATTAAAAAAGAAACATATATCTGTGTGTTCTAACATTATCCTGAGAAAGTGCCCATAGACGTCTCTAGATTGCCAAGTGTCCAGAAAACCTAAGTCTTCAAAAACCATTAGGGAAAGAGAGAAAATTATCCTTATTTGAACAAACTACCCAATATGATAAGCAAATTTCCATGTTTATGTGATGTATGTATTTTCTAAAAAATCTCTACTTAAAACACCTCTTGAGCACCAGAAGCACAAAGGGATGGCCAAGCGGTGACATGATCCTATCCATGTTGGAGGGGCTGGGCCACTGCATGACATGGCACAGCAGGTGCCTTAAGGCCAGACCGTGAGCCACTACACCAGATGCCCATTTGTCAGGATGTGAAAGGAGAAGGCCTGGGGATGCCCCAAACCCCTTCTGCTCCTGCCCATTACAAGTGTCACTACTGCCATGGACCTCATCATCTCCTCTCTCTTCTCCAGCCTCTTCAAGAAGTATATGCACATTTGGATGGTTGGATTGGATGCTGTGGGCAAGACAACCATTCTGTATAAACTGAACTTGGGGAAGATAGTCACCCCCATTCCTAACATTAGTTTTAATGCGGAAACTGTATAAGAACTTGTGCTTCATGGTATGGGATGTTGGTGATCAAGATAAAATTAGGCTTATCTGGAGGCATTACTTCCAGAATACCCAGGGCCTTATTTTTGTGGTAGATAGAAATGATCATGAAAGAATTCGGGAGGAAGCAGAAGAGCTGGAGAAAATGCTTCAGGAAGATGAGTTGAGAGATACAGTACTGTTGCTTTTTGCAAACAAACAGGATTTGCCAAAGGCCATGGACATCGGTGAAATGACAGATAAATTAGGTCTTCAGTCTCTTCGTAACAGAACATGGTATGTTCAAGCCACCTGTAATGCACCAGAAACTCGTCTCTATGAGGGACTTGACTAGCTGTCAAATGAGCTTTCAAAACATTAAATGAAACTGGATTTCTAACCAAGGATGTGTTTGATAGAATTCGTCTAGGCTTGTTAAAACAAAATTAGTTTGCATCGTGATTACTAAACAGTATCTGAGACTGGTTTGGGCAGACTATTACAGCGTTTACACTTATTTTGTTGCCAATTTGTTTACCAAGTATAATGTTGCTACTTAGCAATATGCATACTTTTAAAGAAATTCTCCTTGGGAAAAAAGTGTCCTTTTTGAACTTTACTTCCCTAAGTCTAAATGGCTGGACAGCTTTCAGCTATTGTGAAACCTTTAAATAAAACTGTTTTGAACGTTTTTTTGAGCCCACAACAAATAATGTTTTAAAGTTATCCCCTTGCTACTTTACTGATACCTTTATCATTCTTGGAACAATCTACTGATTTTAAAATGTAGCACTCCATTGTATTTATTTCTCTCCCTTGCCAAAACGATTTTCTAATACTGCTTGTACCAGCCAAGCCAATGCTCCAAAACACTATTCAGTGAACTATAAGTTCACTGAGGAACTTATTTTCCCCCCATATTGACTCCTGGCCTACATTGGCCAAGTTTACCTTTGTGTGGTTTGGATTTGATAACTGATTAGTTCTATGCTGGTTGCGAGAGTTCATATTGAGATGGTTTTTAATACTTGGCAAATTGTCTTCTTTTATATCTTTTTATCATGTATGTTGCTTTTGGTATCAGCCTGACTCTTTGCCTAGAATATGGTAGTTCTGGTGATGTTTTACTGTTTATTGGTGAGCATATATTAAGAGTTTTTGGAAACCTCATCAAATTCAGTGGATAAGTTTTCTTCATAACCCATTTGGAATTATTGCTAACAAAATGAAAAAACATTAAAAAAAAAAATAAGCACTTCTTTTTCAATTAACTCATCTGGTCTTAACTGAGTCAGAAAGACAACAGGTGCTCATGTCCCAGTGTGGTCTTTACAATTTAAGAGCACCTCAAACACTGAAAGAGTCAGGTGCTCTTGTCCCAAGTGATCAAAAGATAAAGAGAGAACCAATGAAGGAACTAAATTATTTAAACTGGTCAGGAGGGAGTAGATGAAAATAGTCACTTTATAAATCATCACACAAAGTAGGATACAAAATAGTCCCTGCCTCTGTGCTAACTCTTTATTTCAATTTTATAAATGTAAAGCTATAAATAGGTTTAAAATGGAAATGAAGATATTTCAATTCAAAATAAGTTCAAATTTTCTGTTACAAATGAGTTAGGAAATATTCAGGATTTTTATCTAGTAGCTTTTCTAAATAGATCTCTATTTGTTGAAAAAGATTCAAGGTTTAGTACAGAGAAGGGATCAGCTCTCTAAGCCTTGTCAACTTTATTGACCCATGACAATAACTTCAGTAGAACAAATTCTTAGTTTGAATGTATCAATTATAACTCTCCTAATTTCATTGAAAGAAGAAGAGATTAGTCAATTATTTTCTACTTCCTAACTTCACATTTTCTAATGCTATATAATATCAGTAAACATAAAAAATCATAGAGAAATAGCAATAGTTGAGAAATATATTTTCAACTTTTATTGGCACTGTCATAGAGTCAAAGCCCTATTTCTTTTATCTATCGGTTTGTTCTATATTAAAAGACTACTATGTGAATTAAAATTGTCAATAACACAAAACTCTATTTAGAATAAGTAATAGAATTAAGAAGTTTTGTTTTATTCAATGATTTGTCTACATTAATAAGATTTCTCCTGTTTTTATAGATGGGCATTAAATTTGACATTTAGTAATATTGATATAATTCTTAAATCTAGGCAATTATTCCAATTAACCATACATATTTTCAAATAGGAATTAAAAGCCATAATTGCCAATACTACTTACTCTTCTCAACAATTCTCATTTATTATACCTAGAATATTCAACCCAGTACCACTTTGTAATGATTTAATGAATAAAATCAACACATATTAAAAAGATCCTACCTGGGATTTCTCAATGTTTAACCCTATTTTGTCAATCTCCGTGTCATTCATTCAGAGATAACTAAATCAAAGACCATTCTTATGGTTTACACATACAGTAACATGCTTACTTCCACCAAGATGTACAGAATTTGTACTATTATTAAATATCTTAATAATTTATGAAAAATAATATTTAATTGTTCTAAAGTCAGGATCTATTTTCACTTTTGTTTGAACAGCTTATTCTAAACCAGAGCATCTCAAACATTAATGTGCATACAATCGTATCTTGTTAAAATACAGATCCTATTTTAGTTGGTAGGTCTAGGATAGGACCTTTTTCCATCATATCCAAGCTATATAAGCTACTTGCCTTTAGTCACTAAGCAGCCCCTCTTAGTTATCAGATCAGCTGTCGCTATTTGTATTCAAGTAACCCTTATTTTACCTAATAATGGCCCCAAAGCAAGAGTAACTAGCAATTCAGATATGCCACACAGAAGCCATAAAGTACTTCAAGTGAAAAGGTGACAGTTTTTAAGAACAAAAAATCATATACTGAGTCTGCTAAGTTCTACAGTAAGAATGAATCTTCTGTGAAATTGTGAAAAAGGAAAAAGAAATTAGTGCTAGTTTTCCTGTCACACCTCAAATTGCAAAAGTGATAGCCACAGTGCATGATAAGTGCTTATTTACAATGGAAAATACGTTAAATTTGTGGGTGAAAGTCTTAAATAAAAACAAGTTCTGGTTAAGGGCAGCCAGGTTCGGTACTATCTGTGATTTCAGGCATCCACTGGGATCCTTCATGGATAAGAGGAAATTTCTGTAATGGGAAATAGTTTTTAACCACTTCGGTACCAGTATCGACTATAGTGGAAAGCCACAGATGAACGCGCACACCAACTTTAGCTTGACAGCGTGATATGACTTTTCTAATTTTTCATTTATCAAAATAAAATTGTGAACATTTAAAAATAACATAATGAAAACATATATGTATATGTTACCTATTCTGATTTACATTACAAGTAAAGCTGCCTGTAAAGTAAAAACAAACTTTCAGTGCTTTAAAGCTTTCCTCATCACACAAGAGCAAAATGGATTCGTCGTCAATGCACAGCACAAACTACCTTGCGGACTACGAGTGCCGGCTGTGAGCAAGGTTTCGTGGCCGGTGAGCACAGTACCGAAGTGGTTAATAACTCTAATGATTGGAAAAATTTAGATTTATTCTATAGCATAAGTTGTAACTATTTAAAGTTCCCACAAAAAATTTTATTCAAAAAAGGCAATTTTTACTCTTAAAAGTATTTAATATTTAGATATTAGTAAAATTTTGAAGAAAATAGCATAATGTATTCAGAATTTTCCAATAAGAGATATCAGTAGAAATTATTTAGGAAATCGTTAAAAATCTAATTGGCAACAAAGAATCAGTTTCCTTAAATAAAAATAATGAAAAATTGAATTAAGAAAAACTAATGTTATTATCAATTCTTTGCATACTTGACATGATGTTATATAATCTAAGTATCAAACATCTAGATGTTCAAAGTATTTCTAGAAAATTCTGCATAATGTGTATATCTAATCTTAGTTTTCTGGGTTGGTAAGTATTTGTTAAACAACACTTGCAAATGCTACCTTGAAAATAATTTGAAGTTTGTAAATGTTTTTTCTAAAATACTTAGCGTTACCACCATTCCAAAATTTCTAAATTTATACAAGCAAATCTAAATGTTTTTTTCTATAGACTTCTGATTTAAATGTTTATGTATAACAGAAAATATAACATTTTTGAAACATATGCACAGAATTCTCCAAACATAGCAAAAGCAATATTTCAAAGATATGCTTTGGAACACATTTATAAAATAGACCAAATTTGTACAACTAAACTAGAAATCCAAAAACTACAATAGGAAATTATACACAACCACAAAATCTTCAACTTCTAGTTTACATAGAGATTAACAAATTTAGGTGGTAGAAAATTCTTGATTATATAAATCATTGTTGTTCAAGATGTGTATTACAAGATGCAGGTTGCTACTTAATCCTACCCCTACTAGTCATTAGTAATGTAACCTTGGGAAAGTTATCTTCTTTAAGTATTAATTAGCCGTTTTTGTAAAAAAAAAAAAAAAAAAGAGTAAATTGTTCCCTTGCCTATGGGCTGTTCAACAAATATTTTGTGCCTACTCTGAGGCAGGCACTATGATCAAGTGGAAAATGTCAATTACTCACCACAGCACTTACATTCTAAACCAAAAGACCAACAGATAACATACAAGTGGATGGACAGGCAGATGAATAAATAACTGCTATGAGGTCATATAAACTAGGATAACAGGATAAAAAAATGACTAGGGCTACTGTATTTAATGGGAGTATATTAGGAAAGGCCTCCCTGGGGAAGTGATATTTGAGTTGAGATATTATGAAAACATGTAAATGTTATGAAAAACCAATGATCATGCCTATTTTCAAATATAGTTTCAAAAATATTTTCTAAATTTCATTATTAAAAAATCAACTTTCATTTACCCATAATCATGATAAATAGGAGATGGCATAAACAACCAAATGTGAAAGATAATTTCCAACTAATTTTGTCCCTTAGCTTAATAATTGCTAATAAAGTACAAAGTTGGCTAATTTGTGTGTCGCAGGTATGTCCTACCCTCTAATAGAGCTGATAGTAACAAAGAAAAAAATAGAAAAGAGCAGGCAGTTGATGGGGGAAAACTGGGGAGAGGGAAAGAATAAAGAGAAAAGGACTAGATGATCCATAAAGTGGATAATCAACCCATGAATAAATCATGAGTAAGTGACATTTCTATTTTCATTTTATGCCCAAGAGGCAATAATTTTAATGGAGTAGGGGATGTACACATGCACACAAATGTATGCCAGGGCTTTTGTACCTAACTTCACCTAACACTTTCCCCCTTTTCCTCTGGAAGCATTTTATCTCAAAGTATAAGATTTAAACGCAAATCTGTAACTATGAAATGGCTCTGGTTCAACGTTATCAGAAAAGGACCAGAACTTTAGGTTATATAAATTCTCATGTTTTTCTTCTGAG